AGTGGGTTTGATGGGTTTTTTGATGGCGACCAGTCCAAGCCGATCCATCCGACGCATTCGCCCGTCCGCACGTTCCCACGGCCTGCTGCTCGTTCTCTCGTCTCTCGACTGGTCCCTCTGGCTTGTCTTTTGGGACCTGGCCTGGGACCTGGCTCCAGCTGCGGCTCCACCGGTCCTTTTCTGGACCGGCTTGTGTCATGGCAAGCTTTTTTGCATGGCTCTCTCGCTTTGCGCCGCGCGCCGATCGTCTTGGTGTTCCAGTTGCTTCCCACCTGATTTGTTTGTGTTCCGTGCGCTAACCGGGGTCTCTTTGTGTTTTGTTTATAGGCTGCCGCTGTCTTGGCCGCCGGTCTCGAGGACTGGGTCGATTTCGGTGTCATTTGCGCTCTGCTGCTGCTTAACGCTGGTGTCGGTTTCATCCAGGAATACCAGGCCGGATCTATCGTCGACGAATTGAAGAAGACTCTTGCTCTCAAGGCTGTCGTCCTCCGTGATGGCACCCTCAAGGAGATTGAGGCCCCCGAAGTCGTTCCCGGAGATATCCTCCAGGTCGAGGAAGTGAGTTCCAATAATTCCCAATACCCCCGGGGCCGCTTTGTTGTGCTTGTTGCGCCATCAGCTCCACCCAAATTGCCCGCCGGCCCGACTGCCCCCAACACGAATCGCCATGGCGCAATTGCACACATGCCAGTCTGCGCAACGCAATTGTTGTTGTCTGCGCATCCCGTCACTTGGCAAATAATGTCATGCGTCTCGCGCTTGGCACCTGGCGATTGGCACATGGTCGGCGGTCCAATTGGTGGCGGCAGATGGTCGGATACAAGGCTGCAAATATGACGTCTAGAGAAAAGTCTCCGTGTGCAAAGAGCCAAACCAATTGCGTACTAACCGCCATCGTTTGCAGGGTACCATTATTCCCGCCGATGGCCGCATTGTCACTGAGGATGCCTTCCTTCAGGTTGATCAGTCCGCCATCACTGGTGAGTCGCTGGCTGTCGACAAGCACAAGGGCGACAACTGCTATGCTTCCTCCGCCGTCAAGCGTGGCGAGGCCTTCCTCGTCGTCTCTGCCACTGGTGACAACACCTTCGTCGGCCGTGCCGCTGCTCTCGTTTCTCAGTCCGCTGGTGGCACTGGTCACTTCACCGAGGTGCTCAACGGCATTGGTACCATTCTGCTGATTCTCGTCATCGTCACCCTCTTGGTTGTCTGGATCTCTTCCTTCTACCGATCCAACCCCATTGTCGAAATTCTCCGCTTCACCCTGGCCATAACCATCGTCGGTGTCCCTGTCGGTCTTCCCGCTGTCGTCACCACCACCATGGCCGTCGGTGCTGCCTACCTCGCCAAGAAGCAGGCTATTGTCCAGAAGCTGTCCGCCATTGAGTCTCTTGCTGGTGTCGAGATTCTCTGCTCTGACAAGACCGGTACCCTGACCAAGAACAAGCTCTCGCTGTCTGAGCCCTTCACCGTCCCCGGTGTTGATCCCGATGACCTGATGCTTACTGCATGTTTGGCCGCCTCCCGCAAGAAGAAGGGTATCGACGCCATCGACAAGGCTTTCCTCAAGGCCCTCAAGTTCTACCCCCGCGCCAAGTCTGTCCTGTCCAAGTACAAGGTTATTGATTTCCACCCCTTTGACCCCGTGTCCAAGAAGGTCCAGGCTCTTGTCGAGTCTCCCCAGGGCGAGCGCATCACCTGCGTCAAGGGTGCTCCTCTTTTCGTGCTCAAGACTGTCGAGGAGGACCACCCCATCCCCGATCATATTGACAAGGCCTACAAGAACTGTGTCGCCGAATTCGCTACCCGTGGTTTCCGTTCTCTTGGTGTTGCCCGTAAGCGTGGCGAAGGTGCTTGGGAGATTCTCGGCATCATGCCTTGCTCTGATCCTCCCCGCCACGACACTGCCCGCACTATCAATGAGGCCAAGGTTCTCGGTTTGTCCATCAAGATGTTGACTGGTGACGCTGTCGGTATTGCTCGTGAGACCTCCCGCCAGCTTGGTCTTGGTACCAATGTCTACAATGCCGAGCGTCTCGGTCTTGGTGGCGGCGGTGACATGCCCGGTTCTGAGGTTTACGATTTCGTCGAGGCTGCCGATGGTTTCGCTGAGGTTTTCCCCCAGCACAAGTACTCCGTCGTCGAGATTCTGCAGCAGCGTGGCTACCTCGTTGCCATGACTGGTGACGGTGTCAATGATGCTCCCTCTTTGAAGAAGGCCGATACTGGTATTGCCGTCGAGGGTGCCTCTGACGCCGCTCGTTCTGCCGCCGATATTGTCTTCCTTGCCCCCGGTCTCGGTGCCATCATTGATGCCCTCAAGACTTCTCGCCAGATCTTCCACCGCATGTACGCTTACGTCGTCTACCGTATCGCCCTGTCCTTGCACATGGAGATCTTCCTCGGTCTTTGGATTGCCATTCTCAACCAGTCTCTCAACATCGAGCTCGTCGTCTTCATTGCCATTTTCGCCGACATTGCCACCTTGGCTATTGCTTACGACAATGCTCCTTACTCTCAGACCCCCGTCAAGTGGAATCTGCCCAAGCTCTGGGGCATGTCCGTCCTCCTCGGTGTTGTCCTGGCCATCGGAACCTGGATTGCCCTCACCACTATGTTTGCTGGCACTGAGAACGGCGGTATCGTTCAGAACTTTGGTAAACTCGACGAAGTTCTCTTCCTCGAGATCTCCCTTACTGAGAACTGGCTGATCTTCATCACTCGTGCCAACGGCCCCTTCTGGTCTTCCATCCCCTCGTGGCAGCTCACTGGTGCCATCTTGGTCGTCGACATTCTCGCCACCTTCTTCTGTCTCTTCGGTTGGTTCGTTGGTGGCCAGACCTCTATTGTTGCTGTGGTCCGTATTTGGATCTTCTCATTCGGTATCTTTGCCGTCATGGGTGGTCTCTACTACTTCATGCAGGGAAGCGCCGGCTTTGACAACCTCATGCACGGCAAGTCCCCCAAGAAGGACCAGAAGCAGCGATCGCTAGAAGACTTTGGTATGTTCATCCTTTCCCGCCATGCTATACATGTTCATCACTGCCAAGGTCACTCGCTAACAATTTCGCAGTCGTCTCCCTCCAGCGTGTCTCGACCCAGCACGAGAAGTCTTCGTAAATATAGAATGGCTCTACAATTACATACCCGCATGGCCTTGCGCCTGCTCTTTCGCTTTCACTATGTTTAAATTTGCATTGTATGAGTCTTGAACGTGAGCATCAACGCGGTGTGGATGAGGAGGCCAGTTTTCTTTTTTCTTTACCCCTAGAGATACCGTCTTCTAGACACCTAATGAATAAATCAAAAAAATAATTATACTTGATGTGCCTACGAGTGATGTTTACTATGCGGTCGCCATGCGGACATGTGTTTAGTGAATTTTCTTTCAGTGTAATTCTCCCATGTACATGGTTCCAATTCCCAATTCTGCAGTGAATGGTATCGGAGTTGATTCGATCCCAGCATCCGCACGATCTGTATTGATGCAATGCCCGCCTCTGGGGAAGCGGTAGTGTATGCACTTAAGTCTGGAGAGGTTGCTTTCTGGTCATTGCCAAAAACAGACGCGGTCCATGTTCGTGCCATCTTGGCCGGGGTAAAAGCTTAAAGTCGCATCACGTGATTGTAAAGTTACTCGGGTCTCAGCTCGACGGACTTGCTCCATGGCCTGGATGCGTTTTTCTTCATCTTGTCAACGAAATGCCATGATTTCGAATGGTGCTTTTCGTTTTATTTATTGGAAAGGATTGATTATCATTGCGCGAATAGCTGAAAAGGGCACACGCGAGTGATTTTGCTGATGGCCTCATGGGACTCGAACACGGGATTTGGTTCATGAGGTCCTGGCATTGGTACTGTTATTTGTCTGGCGGCCATTCAAGGCGAATGAATGGGCGAGAGAGACTGTGAAAGTTATGGAGATTCCGGGGTATTACTACGGTACGTTGATGTGTTGCTATTTATTTTTCCATTCTGGTTGGTTTTGGATGAGTTTGGTGGGGGGCGTGGAAAGGAGGAGGACCGAGATGTGAGAGAGGTGAGGAACGAGGCCGTGAACCAAGGCGTGAGCGAATAAAAGACAGAGATGAAGAGGGTGGTTAGGATGAAAAAAAAAAAACAAAAAAAAAAAACAAGACGGACGATCAGAGAGACCAAATGGACTACGGGGAGACGAGCGATATGAGAGCGAGGAGGAGTCTTGTGGAGGAGCCAAAGTCGTGGGAGGAGAGGAAATAAAACGGAGAGGACGGCATGCTAATCGTGTACAGATGCTGCTAAAAAGAAATACTTCAAGGTAGAAAGCGGCTCGACTGCCTTGTCGACGTCCTATTCCTCTGACGCTGTCAAACGGCGCAAGATTCACGACGCAGCTCGGCAGGAGGCCCGCCTTCAGGCTGAGTTGGTAAAGAGGCACATCAAACGACATGGGCTGCAGAGGAATGTGATTTCTGGGGGTTTGTTGAGCCGCGAGGTGGAGTGTACTCGTGTTGCGGAGGACGGGCGAGGTAGGAGATTTGATGAGGACATTGGTGCTGCGGCATGGGCTGGCGGCCTGCAGAGCAAAGGGCGCGTTCGGTTTATGCCGAGTTTTGGGAGAGGAAGGGAGGTGAATATGAGTTGTTTTTGGGTTGGGAGTACGGGAGTTGTGTATGCGAGTAAGTTTATGTTGTTATTCTTTTCCAGCCGTCTTTTGCTTTCCTGTTGCTTATTTTTTTTTTTCGGAGACGGAAGATATGAATGGACTGCTGATCTTGTGCTAGCATTGGATGAGGAGTCACTGCTGGGGACGCATACCTCTACGGATGAGAATGATGTGTATGCCAACTACCTTTCTTTGGGTGTGTGTTTGGAGTCTCCAGGGGTCTGACGTGCCATATAGATTGACGTTTGGGACGGATCCGGTGACCCTCGAACGTCGTCGAACCCCCCAGTTCCGGACTGAGATGATACGATGTCCGCAGATGTCGTCCATCAAGTACCATGAGCCGTCGCACAGGATGTTGCTGACGTCGCGGGAGCCGGACCATAGCTGCGGACTGTACTTGTTCTCGCCGCTTGTTTCGGAGGAGCCCAGGACGAGGGGACAGTGGTTGTTGGGAGAAAGTGAGTCCTTTGCGTTTGTTTCTACGCCCATCTCGCCTTGTTTCGTCTCCTTCTCTCCCCAGTGGACGGCGTTGATATCGCATGTATTAGGCCTACGTGGCAAACCCAGACGCAGTAACTGACCTCACATAGGTGACCACTACCAACGCCTTGCCATCCACGGCCGCATCCGCGACGAATGGCTCGTCCACCAGAGCACGCCCGCGCCGCCGTCATCCGACCTCCTCTGCGTCATGGGCACCAACGCCGGCGTCGTGCTCGTCCGCTCCAACGACTCCATGTCCAGGGCGGCACCGGCCCAACCCCCCAAAGGCACGCAGCTGCCGCAGGAAATCTTCGACCAGGACTTCCAGTTCTCCAACCACAACGTGCTCCTCGCGGGCGGCCGACAGCCACGCCTCTGGACGACGGACCTGCGCACCCCCGTGACGGAGTGGTCATGCTCCCGCCAGCCCAGCGCCATAGCGCACCTGCGCAGCGTCAACGAGCACCACGTCCTGACGGCCGGGCTGCAGGACAAGATGGGCCTCTACGACATGCGCTTCTTCAAGAATGGGCCCAACGGGACGGCGCCGCTCCTCTCGTTCCCGGGGTACAAGAATGCCGCGCACTTCCATACCGGGTGGGACGTGAGCCCCGAGCTAGGCGTCGTGGCGGCGGCGCAGGACGACGGCACGGTCAAGCTGTTCTCGTTGCATACGGGCAGGGTACTGAAGAGCAGGGCACTGGGCGCCGTGAGCACCGATACTCCCATTCGGGCGTTGATGTTTCACAGCATGGCGGGCGATAGATTCCCGAGCCTGTGGGTGGGCCAAGGGCAGTCGTTGAGGAAGTTTTCCTTTGGGGCAAGGGCCTTCAATGACCAGGCTTGAGGGCTGTTTCCCCGTCCGTTGGATAAGGTTTTTGACGTTTTGGTGTACGGCGTTGCCAGGTTGGGTTTTCCCAAGTCAGTTGACTACCTACCCAGGTGCCCAGGCTCAGCATACTGCTCTTTCATAGATAGATATACACGCAAAGAACTGCTCATGATACTGGCTACTGTTGAACATGTCGTCGTCACACACGCGAGATTATCCACACCGATTTGGCGCCTTGTTTCCGTCTCACATTTTGATTAGAATATAGCCTCTCTCTCCGTAGGGTATGCGTTGGACACACACATCCTGAGCGGTTCTAGGCAATGCCAACCTCCCTTATAGCCACCACCACCTAAATAGCCACGTCCGACATATCCCATTACAAGTTCCCGGATTTTGCGTGCCAGGAAGACTTGGTCTTGCAACAGCCAAAAGGTAAAAAAAGAAAAGAAACTCACACATGCCCCCCACAACAGCAATCCGCAACTCCCTTCCTTTACTCGCGCGATTAACACAGGCTCTCTCTCTCCCCCGCCAAAAAAGGAAACCCGTTCCACATACTACACATAACGAAGAACAAAAAGAAAGCGATTGCGTGATCTGGGAATCGAACCCAGGGCTCCCCGACGTTGCTGATGGCAACGGAGAATTTTACCACTAAACCAATCACGCGATTTGCTGAATCAGCTGCTATTGAGGAGAGGGCGAGATAATGTGGTATAATAAGATTGGAGGAAAGGGAAGAGGAATGGCGGCTGGGAAAGGGGAAAACCAAAAAAAAATAGGATCTGTGGTTGTGGATGAACATGGTGGGAATTTTGTGGACTAGGCCTTCTTGCGTTGAGGGTTTGGTGGGGGCAGTGGGACGAAATGGAGGGAAGCGTTGAGGCGGTCCGCGCATGGATAGAGAGAATGGGGCGCAGGAAATTGTTTTTGACGCTTCTTGGTGGGATTGTTCCTTGCGGATAGTAATACTAGTAGTAATATGTGAGACTTACATAGTAGTAGTCTGCAGAGATTAACTGGTCAATAGATGGCTGCAATTTCATGGCACAACATGATACCACTGACGACTCCATCCCATCCTTGAATAGCACCGTACATGTACAATACGCCATACTCCAGCCCCACTCACCGACAAACAGCCCGTGGTTATCCTAGCAATCTATCGAGGGGTCCAGTTGATATGTGCCCGCCAATTCTGGGAATGCTCTTGCAAACCTCTCTCCGAGCTTCCAGTTGTCGGGATTCCGTATATGCCTCTCAAACACTGGGTTTATCACGACTTCGTCCGAGTCTGGAAGCATTAAAAGCGCATCCGTCTCCTCGTAGGGCCAACTAACCCGCAGTGACGTCGTAAAGGGGATGAACCAGTTGTCCAGATCATATTGACGAGGGTTCCATATTTGGGTTAGTCGTTCTCTCATGGTAGGGAATGGTAGCAGGTCAAGCCATGCCGGGTGAGCATAATCCATTTGTGGCTGTTTGGGAATCATACATTCGGGGATGAGCTTGAAGTTGTCGCGAGTGGGTGAGATTTGCCAGCGCATTAGATAAAACATGACGTAGAGGGAAGCGACGCGCTCTGGTAGCCGCGATATACCGGGGAATGTGGAGAGAATGTCGGTGAATACTCGAGAGAGGGGATGGCTATATACGCTGTTGGACGGATTGAGAAGTGATGATACAGACGGGTATCGCGGACCAATGACTTCTCGGATGGGAACACCGTCGGCAATGCGCTGGCGACGTTCGGAGAGGAAGTTGAGGAGCAAAGAATCCAACGGACACGAGGGATGACTATGCTTGAGTTGTTGTGCGTAGAACGGAAGACCGTTGGGGTTTGTTTCTGGATTATGTTGTTGTTGTGCCCCGGCCTGATGTGGTACTATGCCGGATGGACTGCTTTCTGCCTGTCGGTACCCGTCGGATCCTGAGGACTCGGGCAATTGTCCAGAAGGGTCAGACGAGGTCCAGGGGTGATGGCCTTCTTGCTCGTTCTGGCTGGCCGCCCAGTCATGCTTCATGGGAACATGATGATACTGTTGTGAGTCTTGAGCACCGTTGGCGCCAGCCTGAATCCTACTCACACGCTCACCTGGCCGTAGCAAGAAGTCCAGCCCCAGCCGCTCTCCACTCATGCTAAGTCCTTGACGCAGCTGAAGCTTCTGGTTGTGCAATTGTGCTATATATAATCCCGTGTGGGCATCTGGGGGCCCAATTAAGTCATCGCTCAGGCCAGGGGACACATGCTGCAACTGTGGTTGGATTTGATCCAGGTTTGCGGCAGGAGAAGCTGTTGTTGCGGGTGTAGTAGCACTGTATTGATGAATGCCTGGGCTTGGCACCGCCGTTGTTGGCGGGGAAAATGTATGAGTTGGTGAAACGTGTGTGGCTTCTCCCGATGCTGAACAGGCCGTTAGCTACCCAGCTCTTCTTACTTATAACCGAGTCCTGCCGGTTGCCTGTGCATGGCAGGTGTTGAAAGGTGGCATGAGACAAATTATTCACGTACATGATTCAACAATTGGTTTCAGAATGCTAATAATGTTTGCCAACTGACGTTTGATATCAGCATTCTCCTGCTCAACTGCCTGCTTGGCCCCGACAACTGCCTGAAGTTCCTGATAGGGCTTCTGGTTTGTCAGGTCCCGAATGCGTTTTTCCAGAGCTTCAATCTGGTTCTTGGTTCTCTCGCGAATGGCCCGCTGTGCCTCCCGGTCTAAGCATCGATATTCAGCGTTAGCCAAGTATTTCCATCAAGATATCGGAATACTGCGCACAGACTGTCTTGTAAGCTGGCACCGCAGCCCAGAATATCACGTACCATTTGCCCTTTTCTTGGCCAATTGCTCGGGTGTCAAATTGGCCACGCCTCGACTCCCAGACCCCGTCTTCTTCTTCTTCACTCCAGCCTCGCCATCGCCGGCGGCATTCTCATCACATCTGGCCTCGCCGTCCAGGCCGCGTTTAATGCCAGTTGCCCCAGGTCCAGGTCCAGGTCCAGGTCCAGGCCCAGTACCGCCAACGCCAGGAGTGGGAGCGGTACTGGGCGACCTCGCATCGGAGCTGTCAACCGCATCGCCTGCTGCGGAGGCCATTCCGAGCCCTGATGGCCGACGGCCACCGGATTCACCGTCCGTCCGTCCGTGTGGGCCAAGAGTTGCCGATGACGGCTGGCTGCTCCGTAGTTACCTGTTAGTTGGCTGATATCCTAGCTTGCCTAGGCAACGGACTCAGCTCCGTCCGAGGAAAGTATGACGGTATCCACGACGCGTGCCGACACCGTGCGCCTGGAACGGCCGGGCCCCGAGCTAATCAGACCAAAGCAATCAGACAACAAAAGACAGGCCTTCCTGCCCTGGCTCCAGGGAAGGGCACAGCGGCGGCTAGATAGTGCTGCACAAGGGCAACCCAGAACAAAGGGTCCAGATCAGGGCGGTCATGCTCGGTTGGACGTAACACGATACGCAGCGTGGTGCATGGATGGAGAAGGTTGAGTGGGGAAGTGATTCTTGGGCAAAACTCTCGCCTATGGGATGAGAGACTGAATCAGAAGGAGCGCTATGTTCTCGTCCTTCCTGAGTCATGGAGGGGAACGAGTTCAATTGGCAAGAGGGGCTGGAGCCATGGGGCACATTTTTTGTTGTCTCGTCACGTGGATTTCAACACCGCAAGAGTTCATAACTACATTCGGAGTACTGAGGTAATGGAGCAGGCATGCGACGTGCTGAAAATTTTGTATCATCGGCAGGTCTCATCATCTCGAAATTTGTCTCTCAAGCCCGTAGCCAACAATATCCGAAAAGCTGCAAACAAGTGCAGCGTCTGCAGGTCCAACAGCCCCACTACTGGATGTCCCCTGGCTTCCCTGCCGGTCAAGACTCTGCAGAGAGAAATACATACTCAAGGCCGGGTTTCTCTCCGGCCACAGCAGACACGGCATGTTGTTGCAACACTCCCAATCATCTGAGCCAATTGCATTCTGTCTCATGGTGCCTTGCAGCAACGCGACAAGTCTCTCTGGCACCTGAACGACATGCCAGCAGGATGATATTCGCCCCATCAGTGTCTAACCGTACATCATGCCTCACCAACATAAACAAGGCCCATAGACCTGCGTAAACCCCATTGTAAGAATGATATTCCGCAACAACTACCTGCTTTCCAAGCGCTCAATCTCAATAGCCCATCATACAAGAAAACCTCCCGCAGCATAACAGCTACTCCGCCGATGCCCTCGCCAACGCCTCGTGCAAATGCGGCGGAAACCTGTACCTCAACTGACTAGTATATGTCGTCAAATCTAGCGTCATCTGCTTCAACTGCTCCACCATCATCCTCCTCGTACCCTCATTGCCACTAAATTGCCCATTGCTGAGCTGCTCCCTCTGTCGAACGCAGCATATAATCGTCCACATAAGCAGGTTGGGAACATTGATGGAAACTGGCTGCGATAGACCCGAAAATTTGGATGCGTACGCACGAATGGTGCTTGCGTCGCCGGCTGCGTGGAGAGGCAGGATTTCAAGGCCGCGGATTTTCTGGGGGCAAGTGTTAGAATATCAACTTCCATCATGTTTGCGGCACCGTGCAGTTAGGGGAGGCGTAAACTTACATCCAGTGCCTGAGCCCATTGGCCGGCCTCAACTAGCTTCTTGATGCTGCTCATTTCTAGGAGAACACGGCATGCTGTCTTGTTCTGGTCCTGGATCTTGCGATAGAACATGACCTCGCGCTCATACATGGTCATCATGGTCCTTGCTAGCTCGACGGGGTCGTCGATTGACGCTAGGCTGAGACTGCTGCCCTGCTGAGAGTCCGCTTCCGCGCCGCCGGCTCGGGGCTTGACAGGCATGAGACGCATGGGATCTTCACCAATCTCCAGAGAGATGGCCTCGCTGAGCGCCCGGCTGACAATGGCCACAACGGTATCATACTCACCAGCCAAATGGTACAGGAGGACCGAGTCGGTGGTGCGGCCGCTCTCATCTGCAAAACTAGCCGCCTGCAATGTCACTGTGTTGACAAAGTCCGTCTCCTCCGTGAGGCCGATCAAAGCGCCGCGCTCTTCAATGATGCCACGGATAGCGCGGCCGTCTGGTCGAATATCGCCAATAAGCTTGCTAAATTCACGAGTCTCCAGCACCAATTCGCGCAAAGCCTCGTGGCACAGGTTGCTCTGGCGTTCGCCGGCCTCACCGCCCAGGTCCTTGTTGAGGCAGATAAGAGTGAGGTAATCCACAGCAGACACTACATCCGCAGCTCGGAAGTCTCTCGTATAGTACCCAATCATGCGACCAAAGTTGATCTGGGGCAGATTCTTGACACTGTAGCTGCGCAAATCGTTTGATGCCGACATGGGATCGCTTGGACGCAGCAGTCCGTAGTACACCAGTGCCAACGCAAAGTGGACAGCATCCACATACGAAAACGGATATAAGTATGCGATGGCATCCTCAAACATGCCTGCTAGAATTTGCAGATAGAAGAACATGCCGAAGCTGCCGTTCGTGGTATCCTCCGAAGTGGACTTTGGAAAGTGTTTGAGTCCAATTTCCTTGATGCTCGATTGCAGCTCTGCCAAACCGTATGACTCGCCAGCCATCTCGACTGTCTTGTCCCCTTCCCTAGCGAGGTTGAACTGTAGCCAGATCCAGTCGTTGATATCGGTGTTTAAGCCATCCAAATTACGATTGCTCAGCTCGATTCGTCCAATTACCTTGTAGCAAGCCATGCGGAACGGATCGATAGAGTTCTCGGGAGCATTTCGCGATCGCTGGATATACTCATTGGTACATCGGTCCAGCAGCTTTCTACTTGTTATCCGCCGATCCTCGCTGGCGGCGTAGTTGTTGAGATATGTCGCAAAAGTGCGATCAATTCCCATGAAATGGTTGCTGTTGTCGTTGACATATTGGGCTGCTTCATTCACATGGCCAGATCTCAGCAGGTAGAATACTACAGCCCAGACAAACTCGCCCTGAATCTGCTGGAGCTCTGTATTGTCAGGCACCAAGTCTTTCCTGGCAGAACGAAGACGGATATACGCCTTGATTTTGCTGGTGATGTCTGGCAAACCACCAAGCTTCGCTTCGTGAGGATGCTTGGCAATCAGAGACTCAACCTCCCTCAGGAACTGCTTCTCAAGGAAGGCGGTCGAGCCATGGAGAATCCGTTTCTTCATCGCGACAGAAGCCGCAGAGTTAGGGTTTTCATCCAAGTACATGCCGGCAAACTGTCGCTCCTTGGCTGTCGCACTGTTGATTGTTGTTTCAGCCTCCGGATCTTCGCCTACAATCTCAATCATAGCGCGGTAAGCCTCAACTACATGCGACGCATGTGGCTCGTGAGACTTCTGTTCCACCTCACCCAGTTCCGTGAGAATAGGGAACGGATGCTTTCTGACACGAGCAACGTTGAGCGTGCGAACCTTCTCCGCCAACTTGGCCTGTCTCTCACGAAGTACCCGGTCTTCAGTGGTACCGCGTGATTTGAGGGATCCTGATGCATCAGCGGAACGATCCATATCAGAAAACTCCGATTGGTGAGTGCCAATCCGGCTGGGAGTGCCAATAACGGATCGTTGGAGCATGGTGTTACCCAGCACACTGTTTCGGCCGGTTCGAGCACCAGCAGCCTGCGATTTTCTCCTAGAACGACCAAACCCACCCTGGGACTCCCGAGCAGCAGCGGCCGAGTCCTCTCGTGGCCTGATGCCAAAGTGCTGATAAATACGCTTGCGTTGGGCGTCCCACTCCATGGCCACGTTATCCTCAAGAAATGTATCAAAATCGCGGATGGATCGTTCCAAGCCATCAGAAATCATATCGAGTGTCGTCTTCGTTTGTAAGTTGGACAAGTACGTCTCAACATCGATCTCACTAGGAGCATATCCATGTGTGCGCTCAACCCGCCCGCCCTGAACGTCTAGCAGGCCAAGGTCCTTGGCAGCCGCGCTGGGATCGACTCCCGAGGCAGCGAGCAAATAATGAGCTTTGCCATCCAGAGGCTTCTCGTTCTGCTTGGACTGAAGTTTCCTCAGACGATGTCGCAAATCACCTAGGCCAAGCTCGAGACTGGGGAGGTCCTCCATATTGGTCTTGGCGCCACCCTCTTTCTGTGTTTTGGCAAATAAACTGTCAAAGTAAGCGCCCGCGGGTTGGGAAGCTTGAGGCTGAGCTGTCTGAGTCGAGGCACCCCAGAGACTACCACCTAACAAACCAGTATTTTGCTGAGGCTGCTGCATGGCACTGGCAGTCGTTGTCGAGCCAAACGCAGCGGGCTGGGCTGAGCTTCCTACCAAAGTACTTCCTCCAAAGGCGCCCGTCTGTGGTGCTGCAGAGGCACCGCCAAAGAGTGACGAGCCGGTTGTTCCTCCGAATAGAGAAGGCTTCTGCTGCTGCTGCTGCTGCTGCTGCTGCTGCTGAGCCTGAGGCTGTGAGCCAAAGATACCGCCTCCAGCCGTGCCCATCGTTTGGCTTTGTGGTGTTTGCCCAAATAACCCGCCACCCGTAATTCCAGTCTGCTGCTGTCCGCCTCCAAAGACCCCCCCGGTGGTCGGCTTATTCTGTTGTGCAGCGCCAAAGATGCCTCCAGTTGTACCAGTTGTAGGGGTCGTGCTCTGCTGTGTCGATTGTCCAAAGAGTCCTCCACCCGTAGGTTTGTTTTGCATTGCCGCACCAAAAATGCCGCCGCCGCCTTGAGTCTGCTGTTGATTCTGCGCGGGCTGCCCAAAGGGCGACGAACTAGCGCCAGTGGTCGGCTGGCCGAAGAGAGCCATGGTGGCGTGTCTGCCGTGGGCAAGAAAGCGAGGGAAGGAGCCGAAATTAAAATGACTTGATGAATAAATTGATCGATCAGTTGGTCAGAAAGGTAGTAATTGAAAACAAAAAAAAGAGTATGAACTGTCCGTAGGTGCGTAGAATCGTGCGTTGGCGAGGCAATCCGACTGAACAACCACGCGCGAGCGTGTATTGTATGCTTCAGAAATCTGGTGATGGACGAGGCTGGAGGTTTTGGTCTGTTTTTCTAGGAGCTGCCAGCTTGGACCAATAAGCGCTGACAACGGCCACGTCTAGCAACCAGTCATTGGTTGCTGTGGATCCACAGCACGAGGCGGAAACATTGGCAATTTGATACAAGGCATCAACTCACAACTTGATTCATCATACTCTTCCCCATGTCTTCAATTTCTTCCATTTTCTATCGAATTGTAGTACACTTACTCCGGAATTATACATCACTATGCCATTGGCAATCAAATACGTCTGAAAAAATTACCTCTATGTACGGCGTACTTGACCTTGAAAATGATAAAACGAATATCTATATGCAATCATTTCATGAAAAATATCCCAAACTCGATACCCAACCCGTGTATAGTACCTCCTAATGTTACCTTATCTACCTGTTCATTCATTCTGTTTGATATGGTATGCTCATCCACGATTGTCTAGTCGCCACCAAACTCGGCGCTCCATTTCTCAACGGCCTTGTCGATCTTCTTGCGGTACAGCTGCTGTGATTGACACATCTCCAGGAAGACTTCGTACTTAGCATTGAGAAGCGCCTTCTCACCAGCATCAGTACCCGGCTCGACCAACCGGCCGCGCTTGCTCATGCGGTCCATAATGTCCCAGAGGGTCTCTGGCTCGGAGCCATCCTCTTTGTTGTGGCTGGCTGCCTTGGCACCTAGCATGGCTGCTCCGTGGACGACGGCAGCATGAACATATCGTGGGATAAGGACTGGCATGCCGCAGGTTGTGGCAAGCAGATTCATCAGCACGGGATTCTGGCACTGAGAACCGGACATGAAGATGGATGAGATTTCGTGGCCGGCCGTGTTCATTTGCTCAATGATCTGACGGGTCTGCATGGCAATGAATTCCATGGTGGCATAATACCATAAAGCCATGTTGTCGGTGCTCTTGTCGCTGTCAAGGCCGATCATTGATCCCTTCATGTTGGGATCAGCGATTGGAGACCGGTTCCCCCACAAATCACCGTAGAAGAAGTGATGCCGCCCAAGATAAGGAATGCCAGGAGCATTGTGCTTCGAGGCCATATACTCCAGATGAGCGTTCAAGAAATCGTAAATGTGCTTGTCCTCGGCCTTGGCGAGCGCGCAAGTCTCGTTGTACGCCGGATGAATATCCAGCATGTGTCGCAGAAGCTCCCCGGTGGCAGACTGACCACCCTCAGCCAGCCAGTAGCCAGGAAGCAAAACATCTCGATATGGGCCCCAAACGCCAGGAACAAAGACAGGGTCTTTGGACATGGCCAAATGGCAAGTTGAGGTACCTGCTACGGCAGCCAAGCGAGTGAAGGCCTGTGAAAGATCGTTGTGAGGCACATTGGCATTGAGTTCGTCATCACCGAGGTCGACCTTGGCGCCGACGGTACCAATCCAACCTGCGTAGGCATCAATGACGCCACTTCCTACAGCAATGCCCATGGGAAGACCCAGCTGGTAAGCGGCCTGGCGGCTCAATGTGCCGACAGACTCACCGGCGCTGAAATATGTTCCATTCTGCGGATATTGGTCAGGATGAATTGGCATAGACGCCCGCGGGTTATTCAACTCACCACACCATGAACACCTCCCATTCTCTCAAAGTTGTTCTTGGACAAATCCTCGAGGCCAATGGTCTCGAAAAAGTCCTCCTGCCAGCCCTTCTCACTATTGTCAACGCCGATAGGGACATATCCCTGCTTGCAGACTGTGCTGCAGAAGCTACGGGCCTCATTACCAGTGGCCAAGTGGGTAAGCGCGTCGCCCAAATCGTAAAACTTGCAGCGGGCAAACTGTTCTGCAGGCATATTATTCTTGAGCCAAAGAATCTTGGGGATCTCCATCTCGATGCTCATCTTGCCACCAACATATTTGAGGAGCTTGTGCTTGGTGCTGTTGATCAATTCAGTCTCGTCAACGGGTCGGTGGTCGAGCCAGAGAATAACGTTGCGGTCCTGGCCATCGTTGGTGAACTCTGGGCCAGTGACGGGTACGGGCTCATCCGTGTCGGCGTAAAAGACGGCAAGCGAGCAAGTAGCGTCGAAACCAATGCCTTTAATGAGGCTTGGATCGACATTCGAGTCAATCACGACTCGCCGGACGCACTCGCAAATGCACTGCCAAATATCTGTGGTAGATTGCTCCTGAACGCTGTTAGTGGTGGCGAAAATGCAAGCTTGGGGGACGCGGGGAGGCAGGATCTCGTACATAGTATCCCGTTTCGGGCTGCCACAGCTTGATGTTTTCCGAAGCCAATGCTTTAATATCACCAGTTTCGTCAATGATACAAGCACGGGCAGAGCCAGTACCAACGTCTACTCCAATGTAATAGTCCTATGTAAGCCACTCATGTTAGTCAACTATTCGTGATGCTCTCGAGACTAGCTTCTTCAGGTCGCCGATATGCAATAATGGAGCTCTTCTCAACATCCGCAAATGCAAACTGAAGCTACAGAAAACAGCAATCCATAGTAGTGCTCCGTAGAAGCTGTCAGGTTTGGGATTTGGGGGGTTGGGGGGGGATTACCGAGACACTGGGCGGCCTGCTCACGGGTGGCAATCCGTCAGTATTAACCATTCGAGTAGCTAAATTGTCCATTGCGGAAGCTTCTAAAGCACAGGAGTGTCCAGATTTGAAACGTATAGCCGGCGAAGATTACCAATTGATCAAGACGCAGCTCGAACAATGAAGAGATGTCGAAGGAAGGTGAAGCAGATTGGGACGGCAACAGGAAGAAGGGCGAGACTCACTCCATGGCCTTGATGGGTTTATTGTACGCGTACATGATTGTCCCAATCAAGCAAGCTCAAGCTCAACAGCTTCTGGGTGACAAGCGGGAGGGAGGGGCAATCGGTGGCGTTCCGGATGGATTGGAGGTGCGTCGTCTGTGCAAATAATAGCCCGTTCTGTGTGTGTGCTTGCTTGTTTCTCGCCCGTCGGAAGCCTTCTGACCTCGCCGAGCTACTCCGCACACCGAACCGAGAGAGAACTTGGCTGCGTCTTGCTAAACTGAGAGTTTTGTGGATGATTTCGCGTATCGAATGGGTGCGGAAGAATGCAAGACCACCGCCACGTTGTTGGCGGGGGAGGGTGTGAGAGTGAGGGGCGGAACAGACTTGATTCAGATGCTTCGAACGGTTCGGACGCAAAGGGTGAGGGGAGAGAGGTGTGACGAATGCAGCTTGGGTTTTGCTGCCGGATAACCTACCTAGGTAGATGGACGAGATTTAAAGGGTCAACTGCATTACTCTGGCTGCTTCTTTCTCATGGTCGAGTGGAGGACAATGACGGCACTGGGGCAGAAACCCAGAGACTGAACCCTGACACTGGAGCCACTCCCCGCCAAAGAGAGCTATTTTGTGGTGTAGATCACAGCTTACTTACGGAGTAGTTTGAGTCTACGGAGTACGATTGTGCAGTCAATCGTAGCTGCCGGCCAGTGGAGTCCCGACATGGAGCTCCAGAAGCCACCAGACCCGAAACCATCCAGAACACTCAATCTGGTTGAATTGAAACCATCATGGCTGGGCGAACTACATGTACCACCGCCAATCCGGTCCTGGGCAGCCCTGAAAAGCCCTGAACAAAGCCCCCAGCCCTTCTGCAGGCCGCCCCACCACCAGCGGCCCAGCGGGTCATAAAATTCTGGGGCCGGGGAAGCCGCCTACTCTAAGCGATCCTCTGAGACTACATGAATGAAGATGTTTTCGTGGTGCCAACTTTTGCGAGTGGACAGTCCGGACCTGCCTAGCTAGGTACTATTGTTTTGTACATATGGAGCTTGGTACTTAAGTAGGTTGGCACCCAAGCAACCAAGTCAAAGGTCGATGTCTGTGTAGAAAGTCTTCATCGCCTGCTCGATCCTCCGATTGCTGGCTCTCCGCTGTTGAAAACAACTGCCCTTAAGTTTGTCTTGGAGTGGGATCGCCATTGAATTTGAGAGTCCGTCGCCGCCCCAGCACAGACCTCTCCCGCCATGCAGATACCTGCGACTGGACAGCATTCCCAGTGGCGAGATTATCCATTGTCCCGGAATTTACTCCGTACGTGAGGACTGAGCGGGGGGCAGCTTTGGAGACAGAGAGATTGATGGCGCGGCTTCCGTCACCGAACTCCCCGCGGGTCCACACCTCTCCAGACAAGCTATGACCGACCGAGTACCACCGGCACGAGGGGGTCGGGGTCTCCTCGAACTTCTCGAGGCCCAAAAACACCCCTGGCAAATCCATACTTCAACCGAAAAAAAATAAAAATAAAAATAAAAATTGTCCGCGTGACCTTCAAATCAGGTGTATTCAATCCACAAAGCTAGCAATATTACTACAGATACGCTTCATCAATCATTCGTTCAATCATGGGCCTCCTCCCTGCCGGTTCACGCCTCCGCATCCCCATCATACCGCGAATCAACCATAATAACCACTGTGATAGTAGCAGCATATGCTTCCCGAATTGCACAAGCCATGCTATCCACCAAGTCAGCAACTCTATCCCCGGCACTCGGCAGCTCAGAAATGGAAAAAAAACTCACCACGTCTTTCGTATATCAGCCACCACCGCACTGAGTCCCCAGTGTGAGCACCAAGCTCTGGCCAGTACCTCATTGTCCGCCACGCCATATGCCTCCACCACAAGCACCTTCTCGTCGTCCCCATCGTCGTCAATAAAGTCGCAGTCGTCATCGTATCCCATGTTGTAGAACGGCGGCGCAGGGCTGGACCGCGCACTAGCCGAGCCACTCCTCAGGTCCTTGTAATACAGCCCTCCCCAGTCCCGGACACGCACCACCTCGTCCGCCTTGACGACGCGGTAGACGTAGTCAAAGAACAGCGGGTGCGGAGGCAGCGAGCACGGCCACGCGGTTACAAACGAGACGTCGTACATGAGTCTCAACGGCCACGACATGCCGTCAATGGCAAATTGCACCGTGGCATCAAAGACCCGCGGGCCGGGGTTGGCAATTGTGTCTTCTGCCATTGCCACGACGGGCTTGAAGCCCAGGAGTTCGATGCGGACCGTGTCGACGGCGAAGGAGTCTTCGTCGGGGACGACGAGGGTGTATTCGTCCACCGGGTAGGACTGAGCCGCGGGGCCCAGAGGGTCGGATCTCTCCTTCATGCTCTCCACGTCTTCGGGGCCTATGCGGCGATCCATTTGTTTGGGCCGCCGCGTGCGAATGCGTGCGATCTGGGACCGCCCGAGGTCCAAGGTTGGCCGTCCTGGGCCGACCCAGCCGGCCACGCAACAGCACGTCGGGGCGATGACTTTGCCGACAATGCAGCTTGCCGACCAGTACGTGTGACTATTACAATACTGAAAGCCGCATTGGGGGTTGATATGAGAGAGGAGAGCAAGCTCGTCGGTGCCAGAGTCGGGGTCGAGGTCAATGAGGGTATTCATAATGAGAAATGGGAATGTAGGCTGTCGTAGTGTCAGCTGATGGGTTGGAATGCAGTTGTCAAGAAAAAGGGGCGTCAAGATATCTCACCCCTGGCAGTACAAGACCGCTAAAGAAGGCAAACGCATCCGAACTAATCGAATCAAGTCGAAACTCTTCGTCATGAACTCTCAGACTCTCCATGGTAGGGTCCAAATTCGGCCACTTCATTGCCTGCGCAAACCGTTTGAGAACCTTGACCTGCCGCTTCTTTAATTTATACCGCAGATTTGCTTAAAAAAAACTCATTAACACCAGTAACAACTTGTGGAGCATAAAACAGAGAAAGCAAAAAGGAAAACAAGGCCAAAGGCGACATGGAACAAAGATACAAACTCACTCTGCTCAGGCATTGACCCAAACCCATCCACCCTCACATGTTCCCTCCATCTCCTCGCCAGCGCCAAATTCCACCGTATAGTTGGCGGAATCTGGCCCAACAGCCTCTCCCTCGCCCATTCCCCATGGCTTCTGGAATGAATTCTCAACTCCAGCTCGAGACTGAGGAGCAACTGATGGAAAAACTTGCGATACACGTCCGGGTTGATTTCCTCTGGGTTGAATATGAACCGCGTAACGACCTGGTTCTTGGGCTCCGTGAAATCAATCCAGTCGGGACGTGACAGGACGAGCAATAAATCCGTGATTTGTTTGTCGAGTGTCTTGTGGGGGTTTAGAATGCGTTCCGGGTCACGGAGGATTCTTTTGTATAGTATCCTATAAAGTAGGCCTTCGTCGTCGTCTTCCAGTCCTGCCTGAAGCTCCTTTAGACGCTCGAGGATGTGAGATAGACCCATGTTGCGGGGGAGGACACCCGAGTCTCGGAGGGCAATGGTTGGCGGAAGTGAAGAGGACATAGAGACCCATTGGTTCAGGGTTATAGTTCCAGGTCGTTGACCATAGAGGAATGCGCAGCTGGGTTGCTCTAGGGACTCCCAGGGCGTGGCTGGTCGTCCTGGACCTTGGAGACGAAGCGTCATGAGTGGTGTCATGGAGTCGTGGAGGCTCATGGCATCTGTGTCGTCGGATCGACTACTTGAAGTTGTCGAGTACAGAGCGTAATAATTGTCCGGTGCATGTGGGATGTCCCTTCTGTGTCCTTTATGTAGCGGTGCACCCCGGGTAATAAGCTCCATAGCATGCTGAGGTGGTAATTCGTCATCGTTGGACAGTCCTGGCGGAGGCCATTCTGTTAATGTCGGCGGCGGAGGCGTATCAACTCTACCCTCCCCAAAAGTCTTGCTGCTCTGCCTGTCCTTTGGATCAGCATGTCCGTCATCACCTTCTGGCTCAGGTTTCGGTCGTCGAGGCCGTCTTCGCGAAGATGGCGTTGGTTCATCTGCCAACGGCGCGGCCGTAGGTTTACTCGCCCGAGTGTTCTTGCGCGGTATGCTACTGTTCCCGTTCAATTTCCGCGATGTATGTTCCCCTCCGTTCCGGGATGTGTCGTCGATTGTGACCCGTCGTGGCACGTCACCTGCATTTCGCTGTGCGGCATCAATCTTGGGCCTTCGCGGCGCCTCATCGCCATTGACCCTGCGCGGTGTCTCACCCCCGTTACCGTACTCTCTTCTCTGCGCCTTTCTTGCCTTTGCTGGCTCTTGGTCAGGCGGTGCCCGTCTCGTCGCCGTCGTCGTCGTCGTCGTCGTCGTCGTCGCTCTATCCTGCTTCAGCTTATCGCCGTCCGAGGCCGAAGCGCCCCGGCCCCGAAATGCCTTCAGCCCCCGCGACGCCAGGCTTTTTGTGCGCAGAATACCGCTGAAGAATCCCTT